CTCACTAAGAGAAAGCACTGGTCATGCAAGGCTGACAACCTGAATTGAACCCCTGCAATCCAAGATGAAAGGAGAGACCTGACCCCGATGTCTGCTGTTTGGCCCACATGTGCTGCAGTGCGTGCACAGTGCGTTCACATACACACATCCTTAACACCATCATCATAATAAATACCCTCTCAAATTATGTAAGAGCCTAGTTTATGTTAGTACTTATTTTTATTTCCCACTTAAGTTTCAGCTCACTGGCCTACTTGGGAAGCTACGGGGTATTAAACTATGTATGTTGCAAAAATAGCAAGTTTTGGAACACTAGAAATCGAAAGAAAAACTGTACACAAATAAGTGGAGGTGATCTATGTAATTCTACTCAGTGTCTCTACAGTATTTGTTTCAGAAATTTACATGTATGTCTTAGTGTTCATTTTTCCCCTTGCTATGTAGCAGAACTCCTGGAGTTAAGTTGGGCATGGTCATGCATGTCTGTATTCCTGGCACTGGAGAGGCAGAGAAGTTCAGGGCCAACCTGCTCTACATAGGATGTTCAAGTCAGGCGGGGCTACATCATAAAACTCTATTTGAAAAGTGTAATAAAAATTAAACACATACACACACACACAATCTATACCATGACCTATACCCATAGTTAATGCAGCTTTCAGTCCTCATCAGAGATGATTCTTTATTTAGTAGATGACAGTTAATAACATAGATACTCACAATTGCTCAGTCCTAAATCAGACATCTACATCACTCTCCTTCCCCAAAAGATCAGGGAATATGGCAGAAGAGGGGGCAGAAAGTTTGTAAGAGCCAGAGATTGTTGGGGAAAGGGGAGCCTGCTGTAAAAAAAAAGTGTCTTCTGGACATGACAGGAACATCACACTCATGAAGTCACAGAGGCTGCAATCTCCTGAACAAGATCAAAATAATCAACATTCCAGCATGGGTCAGGGAGGGCCCCAAGGGCCTCACCCCTACCTAGACAGCTCATGGCTACTACTGGAAGGAGAATAAGCTTTCTGTAGGGACATAGGCCAGGTAGGTTGATCATGCTCTGTTGGGTGGTCCCACACCTATACAGACAGCACTAATTGGAATCACTGAGTTATAAAAAATTTGAAACAATTTGAACAGACATGAAGTTGGGAGGAACAATCAGCGGGAGGTATCCAGAAGGAGTTGAAGGCAGAGGTGTTAGGAAGGAGTTGGAAGGGGTACATTTCAGCCAAAGTGGTGTTCATGAAGCCTCCCAAAAGTAAACCCACCCCAGTCATGCCTCGCTCAAGCCATTGTTGTGCCTGCTGGGCAGTTCTGTAGAGTGTATTCCTTCTCTACAGATCTTCACTGTGTATTTTCATAGGCTTGATATATGTGTGGCCTTATCAGTCATGTCTACACCAAATTTCAGGTGACAATCCATACAAGGAAATATAAAAATAGATGCTGCAGCTTCCCAGATGTCGGTGTTCTGTTATCTACACATTTAACTATTCAGGTGGTGGCTACAACTGGAGAAGCAAGAACTTTAAACATAACAACCATACATGATATCAAACAAATTCCGTAAGTCAACAACATGGTCAAAAAGGAGGGAAAACAAGCAAGTTCAGAGAGGTTCTCAAATTCTGTGGCAAATGTTGTACTGAGCATGTGCCTGAAGTAATCAAGCTCTCCCCATGCTGAGCGGAAAAAGTTCCTGCCCTTGTGAATCGTAGGCTGCATTTAATCAATGTGGGGGAAAACAAAAACAAAAAACGCACAAACATGCCCTTTATCTTTCAACAGAAAACCAGCACTAAGAGTACATCTTACCCAACATGTGTATGACTGACTGACCACCTTAGAGAAATCTGAAGAGGCTGAAATCAATGGCTAAAAGATGGCAGCTGCATTACTTGTGAAGGCCAACCTCACGTTTTTCTCCTTCCTCTGTGAGTTAATATGGGTCGATGAATACATTTATTTTTAACCTGTGTGCTTGAATGTTTAAATAGAACTGCATTGATAAACTGAAGAGACGTTTTACTTTATTTCCTCTTTAAAGAACATCCTGTGTCAGCCCACAGACAAGTAAATGGAGCAAGTTTGGGAAAATCTAGGTTGACATTTTTGTGTAAGCACTGAACACATCCAGAAGATGGCAGTATAATGATGCTTTTCAAAATTTTAGCTCTGGGAAGAAAAAGCCTCAGGAAAACTCAATCTCTAAATTCTCTCTCTCTCTCTCTCTCTCTCTCTCTCTCTCTCT